AATGCATGACGAAGCAATCAACCTATACTGTATACAGTTAGAACATGTGTAAACTTGTTCATTTAGTACGCTTTCTATATGATCGTTTCACAAATTTTACTGAACGTTGTTTTCTTAATATACTATGATTACTTCTATTGATATTTTATTTATTATAAGCCTAGTAGTTATAGGATAGCACTCAGCTCTTATAAGTTCATGTATGTACTAAATGAATAAGTAGATTATGTGCTTAGTATTTTTCGCCAATGTAGGTCTCATCTCAAATGCTGTTTGATGGCTAAGACCAAAAGCATTCGCGAAAGGAATCTCGAATAAATAGGCTTGAGATTACCTGATCTATTAACGCAAGTAGGAAAACTCTCACTTTTTCTGTTGTCATGATAGAGTAGCGTAAATGATGGAAATTAGCAAAATTTTACCCACATGTTGTGTTTATAAAAATACCGTTCCTTTTGAGGTGTACATTCATGATAGAATTTATTTATTTAGTAGCAGTTTATTGAGACACTTCGTATTGTTCGTGATAGATAAGCCATTTATCGCCTTCTCTCTTCCAGATGTGGAGCATTTTGCCTTTGAGAATACTTTCATTACTCCCCCATTTCTTAAGTTCGAAGTCGAAATCAGTGATCTTGTAGTCGTCGGTGCCTTGATATTTTTGATTGCTCAGCTGAAACAGAAATGATTATGGTTATAGTCAGAATATGTTTTTGGAAACTAATGTTTTTGTGCGATCATTACAAGAAATGCTTGCTATCAGCTTACAGCAATCTGGGGCGACGAGAATATTAAGTTCCAAAAATCCTAATCCATGAATGAATTACACAAGATTTGGAGTGTAGATGAATACTATATTTAGGAGGGCTTTTCAAAACAAAATGATCTTTTTTCACTTAATCGTTATAGTTCCTGTTCTTCCGATTACACCTGTTCACTCTAGCTATAGGATCCATGACATTTAACAAATGTTGTGGGAAGAAATAGTTAACACTGACCTCGAATGTGTGCCGTCCGATTTTCGCCCAAATCGTTCGGTAGCTATTACCAATGGCTAAAGGCGAAAAAATGGGTCAATTAAGAATGATGATACATAGACATAATTCGCTTACCGTCTCCATATAGAGCGTGTACGTCCTTCTTCACAATGACAGCCTGGGGATGATAGAGACCAATAGCGATCTGGGTATCGTCCTTTTCGCAGGCTTCCTCGAACTTTTTGTAGAGGGGCTTGAGCGTCGCTTCAGCGCCTGAAAGGTATAATTGAGATACGTACGCGTATGCTTTGATGACAGAGATTTGATTGGGAATGTTCTGATGTTTAAAATTCCCATGTATCAGTGAAACCGACATGAAATGCATACATATTACATATAACAACCTGCAGTACTTGGCGATGCCGAATGATCACCATAAGTTTTTGCCACGTTCCCATTTCGGAAAAAAGATCGACATATGGTAAAATCCATATTCTTTTATTGTACAATTTCTATTGTTCAATCAGTTTTGAACAAGAGACCTGGTGGTGTCTATAGCTTTGGCAGGATAATTTCGGATTGATACCTGTTTGAATCAATGAAATGGGAGCTTCTGGAATTATTTTATCCAAACTAAAGCCGTTACGTGAGGTTGCTACTCTATCGTAGATCAAAGCTTATCTAAATTAATAATAAGACCGAAATACCGTAGAGATGTACACGAGAAATAAAGATAACCCACTCTCGGCAGCCACACTTGCTAGGAAGCAAGACAAGATTGTTAGGATGAACTGTGAATTGTTTGCTGTCCGAATTCAGTACAATAGCAGCCGATGCACCATTTACGAATGGTTCAGTGCCACGCGGTTGATACGATAAGTTCTACGTATCATTACCACCGAATCCAATTGACCACATTCATGATCACCACTATTTATTGGTGCAATGCGCACGATCACAAACTTGGGTATTTAAACCATAATACAACTTCAAAGTGATAAAATCGACCATTGAGCGAAAAGAAAGTCTCCGAAGAATAATGAAAGAAAGTCTCACAGAAAAGGCACAAATGAGAAGAGTGGGAGAACGCGAATTCTGGGATACTCATGTCCAAATCAGACTTGCCAATTTAAGATAAATCCCAAGTGCAAGGCGCACACTAAAGAAGGGGGGAAAGTGGGCGCGCATGGGTGGTAATTCCCACCGCTTGAATACGAACAGAGGGATTCACAAGGCGGAGTCTCGGGGTTGCCTGAAACTCCTTCTATTTGCATCTGCAGATTCTCTCGTTCAACTGTCTTCTAGTAATTCCAGGGTCTACTACCGCAGTACAAGAATCTGAATAGCGTAATCCTGTGGCTTGGCAAAAGGCACATCTCATGAAACGCTCCTGGGCTTTTTTAATGTACCCGTGATTATATCTCCTTGAAGAGCAAATATATTCTTAATTTTATTTGCGCAGAAAATTTAAAGTTATGCAGCGCTTGCTGAGCGCTTCTGAACTCCTGTTCAATTCTGAGTACCAATTGCCCTTCTTGTTGGCCCTCAGGAAGGCAGTTTGGGTCGTCTTCTTTATCAATCTCTCTCATCAATATGTCTTCTTCAGCCTCCTCGTTTTCTTACTCGCCATTTCCTTCCTCATCGAATTCTTTGTTCTCTGCTTCAGCAATCTTTTCTTCAGCGAGCTCATTACCTAACGCCCCGACGACGACGGCGTCACTTTCGCGATGTGCTTCTTCTTCTTCGGTGCCTTCTTCTTCTGCGAGTTCTGCTTCCTCCGCTGCGACATCTTCGTCGTGCTCTTCGACACCTTCCATGAAACCTGCGTTACCCTCGATAGGGTCATTTTCGTCACGATTCCCCTATGTTTTCTGGTTGCCGCTTCTCTGGCCTTGTGGATGGCCCTGTTTTGAGCAAATACTTAATGCGTTCACTACAGAGTCATTCGATTCCGTAAAAAGCTGCTCGAGGTGCGCGAGCCTATGGCGCAGGTCTCTCTCAAATGTAAGGATATTTTCGTTTCGTGCGCTTTGGACTTCTAGGCGCACGGTACCGAGGGTGGAATAAAGAGCGTCAGGCATTTGCGAGTGATCCGAAAAGATGTTTTCTAGATGATGGGGAAATCCATCATGAGGGTCATGTCTTCGCTTATCTTCTGTGGATGGCGCATTAGGGACTCCCATTTCAGACGAAGGTGATCTACTTCTAAACTCAAAAGGTCAATTTCCAGAACGTGTTCCTTTCAAGAGAGACGCGTGTTTGACGCACTTTCGAAATTTTCTTTTCAGAGCAGTAACAGCTTGTCTGCAAGTATAATGATCGAAACACAACAATAGAATCCTATTGTACAGGTGTCTGAAAGCTGTGGAATGGCATTTTTCAATGGCAGTTGTTGCAGTTCGCGCAATGTCAACTTAAGAAGGCGCATTCCAATGGTTGTGAGGAATATGTATGTAAATCAAGAAGATTGAGAGGGCAATTGCCACAAGGAAGATGGGTAAGCTCTTGTACCAATAAAGTAATACGTCAAAAATATGTCTAAAGTCGGGCACGAAGACTCTGGTAAACTGTGAGTTATTGGAACTCCTTACTAATCTCTCAAAGAGTTCCATTGCGCTTATTCTCTTCGCTTTTAGTTCGATGGCTGCACTTTGCGCGTTATCGATGCATTCCTGCGCCCGTTCAATGCAAGCATTCGTTTGATCAAGTTGCTAAAGTGTCCGCAAGAGAAACTATAAAGGCTGTGAATTTAGACAAAACTCCGGATAGGAGTTGAGAAGTAGCATTGGGTTTCAAAACCCATTCTTTGGTTCCGGATACAGTTGTTATTGAGGCGGGATCTTCTTGGCACCGTTAATAGATCTCATACTGTTTCAGTAATGATTCAATTTTGTTGCAGTAACGCGTGAGTGAGCCTTTCTTCCAAAGTAACCCTGCTGGGCCTACCATGATGAAATAAAGAGGTTGTCAATGCGAAGAGAAGGAAAGAAACATGAGAAGTTATCTATTTCGGAGTGTGCCTTCAATTCTGAGAGTAAAAAGCGTCAAAAAGGCGATAGAAGATGAACAATAAATCAAAATCCAATAAACTGTGAAAGGAAAAGGAAAATGTGCAACTCCTTGGAGCAAACTTGACTTTTTCCACAGTCGAATGAAAAAAGATAAACCGGCCTGTTTTATGTCCGAATTCAGTAGAGTATTCACACTCGTCAATCGATCACCACTATTTATTGGTGGGATGCGCACAATCTCAAACTTGGCTAATTAAACCATAACACATCTTCAATGTAACAAAATCGACCATTGACCAAGGGGGTCAAGATCTTGCAATACTACTTGGACCTCGCCTGTTAGCAGACTTTGCAGGTTAAGATTTTATAAACCGTTGCATGCGGATCATTGTGCACAGCTAACTCGAAGGCGCACCAAAACCTTTTGAATTGTGTGATATCCCCAGTGAACGGCTCCAATGTAAGTTTTCCGAGCTATGCAGCTGGTTGAGATGTAGGATTACCATTCGAGGGTCCACTAATAGGTGCATGATCTACGGAAGGGTACAATAAGGGTGTAATAGATGCGTCGAGGGATCGCTGCGGTAATATAAATGCTCGTGTGTAGGCACTTGCAGTCGGAAAAACTGTTGGGTTTTCCCACTGATCGTTATGCGTTGCCTGCGATGCTACCGTTGATCTACTAGCCTCGACACACGCTTCAACTTCGCTGAGGCGTGAATTAAGTACTTTAAGAGTATCTCTAATAAAGGCTATGATGCCATCTACTCGAGCCTTTTTCGAGTACGCCTCATAAGCTTGATTGTCTGCTTCCTGATTTTCCGAGACTTCGCTGGAGTTCAAAAAGGCTTGTCTTCTATCCTTCAATGTGCGAAAAGCTGCGCTGACTTGCATAATATAGTTTTGTATAGCTGCCTGGATTGATTCGAGATCTCCTGTACTTTCTTGCGAATCTACGGGTTTTAAGAGAGATGCTGAGCTCCTACCTTTCACGCCTTCCAAGGAAACAACTAGTATTTTCGTCAACTCCGCCTTGCATGCGCTGACCGTCGTCATATTGAATAATAGCAGGAGGTAGTAACTGCCGTACCCAATCTAAAATGCGCGAGAATGAGAATATATCTAGCCGTAGGGTAACTATTGATCGATAGCTCCCTGCGGCAACATGTGTACACGTTATGCGACGTTGGCCAAATGACGGCGTAATTAATAAGTATATCGCAATGCGACATAATAGAATGTAGTGACGTTGAACTGATCGTGGGGCTGTGGGGATGAGATGCTCTGTACGGTGGACATGGCTGGCATCACGCGATCCTTTCCGCAACGCCTTTCAGGTAAGACCAGGTACCTTGTAAAGTTGAGGACGGGACGTCGACAACAGATTCCGAGCTGCTACGGAGGTAAGTACCCAGCCCGTTGCGTAGCGCTGTATCCTCCCTGAGAGCCCTACGCCGCGGGTTGTTCTCAGGTATCCTGCCGATGCATCATCAGGTGCAAGAGTGTTTCCACATACCTTCCCCCACCTGCGTAGAGTTACATGGTTCGACGTGCTTTACGGCGTCCCTGCACTCGACTACTGCCACAAGGCGGTGTAGGTAAGATCGCATGCAATCACATGGGGCCAAGAGGGCATTACCCCTGTTATAGCGGATGTGTATCAAACCAAGCCACACGTATGTACAACGCTGCAATCCTGAAGGCCTCGGCGTGAGCGGCGAGCATGACAAAGGTTCCACCACCAAGGCACAACGTGGATTTTCCACAAGTTGGACCCCAGTTCGATGCAAAATGTCGCGCCGTGGGTCGGATCCCCTGCCTGTCGTTCTCGCATAGAGGTCCTACAAGAGGGAATCCAGCCACGGTGCGGTAAGGGGGTTGATACGCTTATGGGACTTGTATGCCCGCCGAGCTCCACCTGCCACGCGTTGTAAGCGATTAGTGATTAGTCCTATCGTCCCAGATAGTACTTGTCCTCTAAGCTCCACCTGTACGACGAGGGACACTTGTAAACCTCCTCTCATCTCCAAGACGAACCTCACCCTTGGCGATTACTACCAACATCGTTAAGCCTAAGCACTCTGACATATGGCCAATGAATACGGGGTAACCCCTGATTTCTTTGAGTCCGATAGAAACGTGAGAGAAGCACATAAATCGCGTTAGCAACAAATTCATGTCAGTACTCTGAACAGAATATGTTATGATACCCACAACAAAACTCATAGCGTCCTAGGCCTACTACGTTAAGAAAGGAGGTCGAACCTCAGACTTAGATTTGCGAAGGGTTACGTGGTTCACTCCATCCCGCGCGTCCTTGCCCTGATTTTTTCTTCATAGTGTTGTTGTTGCAGCTACGCGGAATGGACAGTGTGACGGCAATCGGCGGTACGCAGCCTTCCCTTGCCAATACGGCGACACAACGCGTGAAATAACACAACCGATACGCTGAAGGCGTAGCGAGACGACTGAGACGACCAA